TCGACGCTTCGCCACAGGTCAGCACACCCCCTATTTGTATTCTTTTTTTTGACAAAATTCGGATTGGTTACTCATTTAAAGATATATCGCCGGCAAGTTCTACAAGAGCTCTGAAATTCGTAATGAATGGTATCGCCGTGCACTTGAATTTGAATATTTCGATCGGTTGGGTGAAACGTAACATATGACTGGATGCAGTTTCTAATTTTGAATGACTTGTGTATCTGCAGTTTGCGTCATAAATGAAAAGTGTCACTGTTTCTGTTCAGTGTACTGTTAAGGGATTCATGTCATGTCATATAACAACGAAGGGAAAAAACAACATAATACACGAATATGCAATATGCTGTTGGTCTTCATACCCTGAAAAAAAACAATAGAAATTTTCTTGTTCTTCCCTTCGTTGTTCTATTTGCATGTCCTGTTAACTTTGTGGTGATGACATGCACCAAGTTTATCTTATTCTCTTCATTAAATCGCACAAAAGATTGAAAACCGCGATATAAAACTGATCCACAATACAGTCTTGCAGGTGAGATAGCCCTACCATGATGAGGTCCAGCAGAGTCGCCAGGCCCGTGTCCTCCTCGAAGCCAAGCCGAGTACCTTCTCGTCTGTATCCTCTTTCCCGGAGACTCTTCCCTTCCCTAAGGCACGCCCTTGTGTTTATTTTCCCATTTGTGCGTAGTGAATAACATTGACGGAACGCGTAAATGATGGTTTAAATAAGGAAGTGCCATATCCAGGCGAAGGAATTTCATTATGGAGGAACAGGAATGTGACGCCTTGGTATGAATGGATCTGGTGATGGTCGGACAGGTGATAGCATTATTAACTCCTAATTCATACTAAAAGGAAATATATTCAAGATTTTTTTCTGAATGTACCTTCAGCTGCCCAAGAAGGTGGAATTACCTATCATCAGATGTCAGATTTATTAGATTGCATAGAAAAATATGTTAGATTTACCGCGGTCTCTTTATCGATATGTTTAGATGTCATATATATTTTTGCCAAACCTGTGTCATTGCCAATTCAGTTAATGGCGCCATATGCCGACAATATAAAACGTCAGCATTTAGTGATTTACGCGTCTTTTCAATTCCTCAGGTTTGGATTTGAGCAGAAAATGGAAATACTTGACGGCGTGGCCACGGCTGACCTGTGTATGATCCTGCCATTTCGGGATTACCTTTTGACTGTCGACTTAATTCATATTAATGGCAACAAGTAGGTTCTTTATACTTTGTATTATTATTCTGCACTCTCCATGTGAACACCTGAATAAATATAGAGGCATATATTGTACTATTATAGGATTTATTTACATGCAGATATTACATAAAGATATTTTTTGTAACTTAACTGGTAAATTATTAAGTATTGTCACTATATGAACAAGTTTGATAAAAAAAAAAAAAAAAAAAAAAAAATGTACAAGTAAATCCAAGCAAAAATATTTGATTAGCCGAAAATAAATGTAATAATCATATATATCAAACTTGACTGACAGGTGCAAATTACGACAGATGTGACAGAGCTGTTTAAAAACGACGTGAATATACGCCATGACAGTGGGTATGATGGATGACCGTAATAGTGTGAGTGGTGAGCGTTGCAGTCGTGGTAGGAATAGTGCATGTGGTAGTATCGGTAGTAAAAGCTATCGTAGTCTGCGTAATGATAGCCGTGGTTGTATGGGTTGTGATAGCCATGATAGACTTGAATGGAGATAACCATGGTGTTGATGATGATGCGATGATGATGGTGATGATGCGGTGCGGGCGGCGGGTCCCGTGGTGACGAGGTAGCATGATGTGGATGGTGAGGGCAATGGTGGTGTGGGGGCGTGGTCGTGTGGTCAGTAATAGCCATGTGGGTGGTGACGTCGATGGCCGTGGGCGTAATAAGGACCGTGGTGATGTGACGCAGAAATAGCAGTAAATATTACAGAGTACGTAACTCATGATGCAGAGAAGGAAATTGAGAAGCATTTCTTTTTTTTCATCGAATTGTTGTTTCGAGAACACGCTGATAATTCATGAAATGCTGTAACGTATCGTAACTAAATATATCTCATGCGTTTTTTTTTCTCTTTCATCTTTTTTTTTTCTAAAGATACACACACACACACACACACACACACACACACACACACACACACACACACACACACACACACACACACACACACACACACACACACACACACACACACACATTCACACACACACACACACACACACACACACACACACACACACACACACACACACACACACACACACACACACACACACACACACACACATACACACACACACACATACCACACACACACATACACATACACATACACATACACACACACACACACACACACACACACACCACACACACACACACACACACACACACACACACACACACACACACACACACACACACACACACACACACACACACACACACACACACTCACAACACACACACACACACACACCACACACACACACCACACACACACACAACACACACACACACACACACACACAACACACACAACACACCACATTCACACACAACACATATATATAAATAATATATATGCTGTGTGTGTGTATATGTGCATTCAGTTCACAAGATCAACATAATGCAATATAAATCAAACCAAAATAAATCAAAACACAGTTCAGTAACATATAATTGTAAAAAACAATAAGTCATGATCATAATCATTTTTTTTTTTTTTTATCAAAACAAAAGTGAAAAATGGAATCCATTTGGACATTCCCCAGGTGTTGGATGATTGTTGTTGATGTTGAAGACACGAGTGTTGCACAAACGCACGCAGAGCCGCATCGTATCATACGAGGGAGCAGGCACGTGGCGACAGCATTCAGCATAACAAAGACAAGGCAAAAAAAAAACTAAGCTACTTAAGAACATTTGAAATATAGCTTCTCTTATCTAGAAAGCCATATTTTCTGAAGTAACAAAAAAAAAAAAAAAGAAAAGAAAAAAAAAAAGTTTCAAAACATGCACTGACAAAAATCTGCAGTGATCTTCAGACACTTGAATGCATTAGATCTTATTGTAGCTTCCAGCAAAGGCACTCATAGTTTGCCTTGGAAGCAATATAAAAGCATGCAATAGCTCTATTTAAAAAAAAAAACATATGAAAAAAAAACAAGTCACATCCTACATTAAGTTCATGATGACCAAGCCTATGATTAGAAGACCAAAGATCCAAAGTACACAAATCTACATATGTGATCCTTTCTCCATTTTGGGATTTTCCTTTTCTTCAAACAGTTGATAACGAAAACATAAATGATTTGCATTTCAAAAATTATTACTATATTCTTGTTTCCTATATCTAAATCAATAAAAAATCAAAATAATAATGCTGATTAAGTTTTATGCATTCTGGCCTTTTAACTTGTAGCAGTATTGAATAGTCTGAAAGGAGGGGGGAGGGGGTATTAACCCATTCCTGCCAAGAACAGGTAATGTCCACTGTAGTTTTGTTTTCTGCATTGACTTTACACATAAATGGAAAGGGCTCAGCTACCAAGGAGTCATTAATAGCTCTATGAAACCTCACCTGGTTTCCCCTTCCCTTGAGCTTTCAGGATCTTTTTTGCTAATACTATCAGTATTGATACTGTGACTATTATTACTGACATTATGAATATCATAAAATCATTAACAATTCTAATAGCAATAAAAACAAATAATATCATTTCCAAAAATCATGGAATAGGATAGCAAATGAAAAAGGCTAAGATTTAGTACTTACTCCTTGGTGACTAAGCACTTGTGGATCCACTTATGTGTAAATACAATCAATAAACTAAATTTACAGTGAACACAGCATGTACGGACATACCATTCGCAAAATTTGTCTATAATGACCTATGCTATTAAGTTTTTCACAGGTACAGTAGATTATATAAAAAATGCAATACCATTAATATCACTAAAAGATATATATGATGTGGCTACCAATATGCAATATAATACGGTTTAATTGCATGAATATTGCAATTTGCTGCAGTAAAAGCTGAATGCATGGTAATACAAACCTTATTGTAATCACTTCTTGCTGCTTCACTATCAACTAATTAGTTGTAATTATCCAAATAACTGTCTATATCTTGATTAAATTAATGTTATATGATAAATATAATATAAGTATATAATCTATATAATGTAATGTACACAATATAATATAATAAAATATATAATATTTTGTGTGTGTATTTTTGTATATACATACCTACATTGTATAAAAAAAAAATAATAATGAATATTATTCTGAAGGTATTGTAAAAAATTACCTAAAAGATACTCATATCAATACACGACAATAAAAATACACTGCACTGTGGCATAAAAACTAATCATAGGTCTGGCATCAATTTAACTACAATACATGCACATATCTGCAGTTTCTAAATCATGCAATCAGTACTTTATATAAATCCACTAATATCAGCACACCCCCTGGTATCACCGTTTTGAAGGAATACTTGAGATATAAGATTAACAAACAGCATTTGACAAAATAGTCTACAGCACCACAATCACTATGAAACATATCTAAGCTATCTTCTAACAGTGAACAAAACTTCATGACGATACAAGCAAAGAGCATGACTTAGTTTCCTTAACTACCTGAGAAGTGCTGAAGACTGCTGTTCATGACCCTCAGCCCTTGGCGCAAGCTGTGACTCGTGTGATGTGGAACGACCTAATGATGGCTGCAGGGGATTCAAGAGGCCAGTTTGGTATTTCTTGCCAGGAGGAGGCGTTGTTGGGAATTTCTTGTCACCTGTAAGTAATTTGACAGTCCATCAACTTGTCACATGATTAGTTACTTCTTTATGCCAGGGGTTATAATTTGCTTTAGCTTCAATGTAAAATTATTAGCCTTTGCATAAAAGTCCATACCTGAACTCTTGCCCTTTGGGATAATACTAGGAGTTGGGGGAGGAGTATATCGCTTCTCAGAGAAGACAGTGATACTCCCAGGGAGATTAAGAGTGGAGGAAGTGTGGAGTGGACCACCAGGACTTAGTGGAGGAACCAGGGACAAAGGAGGAGGGGGTGAGGAAGGAGTGGAAGAGTCATCACTACTACGTTG